AACCCAAGGAGGAATTGCTATGAGTTGGGTCTGACCCGACGGCACATAACAATGACACCACCCCAAGGCAACTAAAGCTTCCATGAAGTACATTATGAAGACACCCTCAAAAACAAACCAAACAACAACCAAAAAAAAAAAAAAAAAAGGAGGAAAAGACTAAATTGTATATGTGAAAAACATTAAATTGGCCAAAAAAAAAAAAAAAAATCAAACCCATTGCCATCAAGTCGATTCTGACTCATGGGGAACCCAAGTATAAGAGAGTAGAACAGCCCCATATGAGCTTCACATAAACAGATCAGCAGGCCTGTAGACAAGTATGTCATTGTTGTTGTTAGGTGCCGTTAAGTCAGATCTGACTCATAGCAACCCTATGTACAACAGAATGAAGCATTGCCCAGCCATGCTCCATCCTCACAATCCTTGCTATACCTGAGCCTGTCATAGCAGCCACTGTGTCAATCCATCTTGTAAAGGGCTTCCCCTTTTTCGCTGACCTTCCACTTTGCAAAGCATATCCTTCTCTGAAGAATGATGCCTCCTGACAATATGACCAAAGTAGGTGAGACGAAGTCTACCCATTCTCACTTCCACGGAGCATTCCAGCTGCACTTCTTCCAGGACAGATTTGTTAGTTCTTCTGGCAGTTCATGGTACTTTCAGTATTCTTCACCAACAACCCAACTTAAAAGGATAAACTCTTCTTCAGTCTTCCTTATTCATTGTCCAGCTTTGACATGCATAGAAGGCAATTGAAAATACCATGGCTTGGCTTAGGTGCACCTTAGTCTTCAAAGAGACATCTTTGCTCTTCAGCACTTTAAAGAGGTCATTTACAGCAGATTTGCCCAGGGCAACATGTCATCTGATTTCTTGACTGCTACTTCCATTGGTGTTGATTGTAAAACCAAGTAATATGAAATCTTTGACAGCTTCAATCTTTCTCCATTTATCATGATGTAGTTTATTGGTCCAACTAGATGGCACATAACAACAACAACAACAACAGTTTATTGGTGCAGTTGTGAGGATTTTCATATTCTTTATGTTGAGGTGTAATCCATACCACAGACTGTAATCTTTAATCTTCATCAGTAAGTACTTCAAGTCATCTTCACTTTCAGCAAGCAAGGTTGTGTTGTCTGCACATCTCAGGTTCCCCCATCCTGATGATGCATACTTCTTCATATAGTCTGGCTTCTTGAATTATTTACTGAGCATACAGACTGAATAAATATGAGGAAAGGATACAACCCTGATGCACACCCTTTCTGATTTTAAACCATGCACTGTCTCATTGTACTGTTCTAATGATAGCCTCCTGGTCTATGTACAGGCTCCTCATGAGCACAATTATGTGTTCTGGAATCCCCATTATTCTCAATGTTATCCATAATTTGTTACAATTCACACAGTCAAAGACTACTCCATAGTCAATAAAACACAAGCTAACACCTTTCTGGTGTTCATTGCTTTCAGCCAAGATCATCTAACATCAGCAATGATATCCCTCATTCCACATCCTCTTCTGAATCCAGTTTGCACTTCTGGAAGTTCCCTATCAATATACTACTGCAATCGTTTTTTAATTATTTTCAGAAAAATTTTGCTTACATGTGATATTAATGATATTATTTGATAATTTCCACATTCTTTTGGATCACTTTTCTTTGGAATGGGTAAAAATATGAATATCTCCCAGTCAGTTGGCCAGGTAGCTGTCTCCCAAATTTCTTGGCATAGATGAGTAAGCACCTGCAGTACTGCATCCATTTGTTGAAACATCTCTATGGGTATTCCATCAATTCCTGAGGCCTTGCTTCAGTGCAGCTTCAACTTCTTTCTTCATTGCCATTGATTTTGATCATATGCCATCTCTTGAAACACATGAACATTGACCAATTCTTTCTTGTACAGTGACTCTGTGTATTCCTTCCATCTTCTTTTGATGCTTTCTTGCAACATTCAATATTGTGCCCATAAAATCTTTCAGTATTGCAATTCAAGGCTTGAGTTTTTTCTTCAGTTATTTTAGCTTAAGAAATGCCAAGCATGTTCATCCCTTTTGGTTTTCCAACTCCAGGTCTTTGAACATTTTATTATAATAATTTACTTTGTCTTCCTGAGCTGCTCTTTGAAATCTTCTGCTTAGCTCTTTTATCTTGTCATTTCTTCCATTTGCATTAGCTACTCTCCAAGAGCAAGCTTCAGAATCTCTTCTGACATCCATCTTGGTCTTTTCTTCCTTTCCTGACTTTTTAATGGCCTTTTGCTTTCTTCATGGATGATGTTCATAATGTCATCCCACAGTTCATCTGGTTTCAGTAATTGGTGTTCAATGTATCAAGTCATTTCCTCAGATGGTCTCTAAATTCAAGTGAGATATAATCAAGGTCATATTTTGGCTCCTGTGGGGTTGTTTTAATTTTCTTCAGCTTCAACTTGAACTTGCATATGGGCAGTTGATGGTCTGTTCCATAGTCAGCTCCAGGCCTTGTTTTGACTGAAGCTTCTCCACTGCCTCTTTCCAAAGATGTAGTCAATCTGATTCCTGTGTATTCTATCTGATGAGGTCCACATGTATAACAACAACTTATGTTATTGAAGAAAGATATTTGTAATGAATAAGTCATTGGTATTACAAAATTCTATCATGTGATCACCAGCATCATTTCTATCACCAATGCCATATTTTCTATCTGTGATTCTTCTTTGTGTCCAACTTTCACATTCCAGTCACCAATAATAATCAACACATCTTGGTTGCATATTTAGTCAATTTCAGACTGCAGAAATTGGTAAAAATCCTCACTTTCTTCATCTTTGGCTTCAGTGGTTGGTGCGTAAACTTGAATAGTAGCATTAACTTCTAGACAAGTATAGTGGAACTTTAAAAAAAAAAAAAGGCTGTTGAGTAAATTCCAATGCATGGCGACCTCTGGAACAGAAGAGAACTTTCCCATAGGGTTTCCAAGGCTGTGATCTTTAGAGAAGCTGATTGCCACATCTTTCTCTTGAAGAGAAGCTGGTAGGTTCAAACTGCTGACCTTTCAGTTAGCAGCTGTGCTTTCAATCACTGCATCACCAGGGATCCTGGATATTATTTAATAAACCTAGATACTATTAAACAAACTTATTGAACTTGATTTCAAATGCTGAGGATTATTTCGGAAACTGGAACTGTTAATGCTTGAACAACGAGGTAACACCAGCTAGTGAAACAAGTAAACCTGGATTAGTGAGCATTAAAGTATTAAGGACAAGGGAATCTGTAGGATTTGGGGCAACGCATTCTGTTTTCAGCAAGCTTATCCTGTGAAATGTGTCAAAGCCTCACTGACTGCTTAGAGGAGTGAAGTAGAGAGAGCAAGGGCACGAAGCTGTTGTGAGCACTTTCCTTCTAAAAGTGATGACAAGTCCATCAGTAGGATTTAATGAGCAAAATCAATGTGCTGTGTCCCCCAGATGTCACACACCTGAGAGCCAGAAGCAGCCTGTCTACACAGAAGGGAAGTGGCCAGACTCTCTACTTTGTTGAATCTGTTTTTGTTACTTAAGAACCTTTCCAGTATCTTCAAATTGCAATTTTAAATATTCAGAGGGGACTGCATGAGCGGGGAACTGTAGGGCTTCACAAAGTGATTCAATGCAATCAGAGTATCAGTAAAGGAGAAAGAGAATTGAATTGAGTGATTCAGTGGGTTTTCCTTATTGGGAAAAAATCATTACCAAGAAGAAGCAGAGATTGTAACCAGAGTGAAAGAAAAAATCATTGGGTGACTTTTGTCCAGTGACAAGAAGCTGGTATTTGGGTCACAGACCTGTGCCCTAATCCCAGCTCCTCTTTTTACCAGCTATGTGAATTTGGGCAAGTGAATTAAACTGTCTATGCTTTGATTTCCTCTCTACTAAAAGGGATTATAATAGTATCTGCCCTATTATTTTTTTTTTGAGGATTAAATAAGATAATGCCAGTAAAATGCTTGGCATCCTGTCTATCATAAACACTCAGTAAAATATAACTACCACTTCTGCTCTTACTACTATCATCAATATTATTAATGCAGTGACCTATATAATAATTAGCTGTTTTCATTAGTAGTAGTATTTGGAATGCTGAGCCTCTCCATCACATTCACATTAGAAAAAAGGGGGAGGGGGGGCTATGACTAGCAAGGCATGCCAAGTATCCCCTGAGAAAAAAATCATCCTTTCTCAAAATTTGAATAACATATTTAAGTCTCCTACTTTGAAGGGACCTTGTTTCAAACAGAATAGGATAAATGTTGCTGCTGTAAGAAATAAACATCCAAATCTCAGTGGTTAAGACTGCAAAAGTTTATTCTTGCTCATGTCCCGCTCCAGTACAAGGCAGTTGACATCTCTCCCCTAAGCAGTGGTTCAGGGTCCTAGGAAATTTCTACCTGGAGATAAATGAGTCTTCTCCAAGCCATTATTCTAATATCCATGAGTCCCTTTGTCATATAGCATGGATTAGGGCCTTCACTACCCTGGTAGTTCTCATCTGAATGTACTAGTTGGCCTACATCCCTGCACCAAAATTAATCATAAGTTAGTAGTATGACAGGTATAAACTGGGTGGTTTATACCACTTTATACTCCTTTATTCTGGAGAAAATGCATTTATTAATACAGCCTAAGATCACGTTCATTTTTTGTGTGTGATGTTCAACTCACCATCAATTGGAATAGCCATAGATATACAAGTTCTGTCTTAACAATGTTTAGTCTTCTCTTTTCAATCTAAATACGAATCTTCATGATGGAAAAAGTCCAAAAGGAGTATATAAATTAAGGAGATTTGCTTGCCCTAGTTTATCTATTCATATCACCCATCCACTCTACGCAGGTGGTAAGCTTTCCTGAAGGGTGCCTTATAGTCTAAGCTTATTTGTAGCAAATTCTGAGCCAGATAGCTGACAAGACCTGCCCACTCCTGTTATTTTTCAGACTGACTCTCCCACCTCTTGTTGCAGGTACCACATCTGTGTCACTGTGCTGACCTACTTCCTCCCCCTGCTGGTGATTGGCTATGCGTACACTGTAGTGGGAATCACCTTGTGGGCCAGTGAGATCCCAGGGGACTCCTCTGACCGTTACCACGAGCAAGTCTCTGCCAAGCGAAAGGTGAGCAGGGATAGGCAGCACATAAACACCCTGACCCAGGCCACAAGCTGGCAAACAAGGAATGACGTAAACCCCAGAGTCTTAGAAGGCTCAGAGGCAAGAGGTCCAAAACATTCCTGGGTCTGAGCAAAGGTATAGGGAAGAGAGGAAATGCGAGGGGAGGGGAAGGGAAGGGAAGAGGAATATTTCTTAAGAGGATTTTTAACATGCACCTGAAGGCAAAGACATGAGCCACCTTTCTTTCTCCTTAAGAATAATTAAGGACCTCTGGTGGTGTAGTGCCTAAGGCATTTGACTGCTTACCAGAAGGTTGATGGTTCAAACCCACCAGCCAGTCCACAGAAGCAAGTCTGGGCAATCTATTTCAGTATGGCTTTACCACCTCGGAAACCCGAACGGGGTTGCTATGAGTTGGAATGGACTCATGGCAGTGAGTTTGGGAGTTTTGTTTTGTTTCGTTTTTTCCCAACCATTAAAACACACAAACAGAAAAGGAGAGACAGACACACATATACACATACATTTAACTGCAGAAGCGTTAAAGAACCATGCAGTCTTCTTTATTATTTATTTAACTTTTCAATAAATAATACATTCATGTCATTCAAACATCAAAAGTATTAAAAGGGACAAAGTTATAATGATGGAGACGAGATCAGAGGTTAGCGGGTTAGGGTTGAGGAGAGGGTCTGACTATAAAGGGGTAATTGAGGAGGAGTCTTTGAGCTAATGTTTCATAGAACTATACACACAAAAAAAAAAAAGTTAGTGCATGTAGAAACTGGCAAAATCCAAAACTACAACTGGAGTTTATTTAATAGTATTATACTAGCACCAATTTCCTGGTTTGGTAAAGCAGCATAACTATGTGAGATAATATTGCTGCAGGAAGTTGGGTAAAGTGTACCTGGGGACTCTGTGTTGTTTTTTATTTTTTAATTGTGATTTGAGTGAAGATTTACAGAGCAAATTCACTTTCCATACAGCAGTTCACACATACTTTGTCTCATGTCATTGACCATAGTTTACCACAATGCAACAGCTCCCCTCCCACTTCCTCCCCATAGTTACCTCTTTCCAGTGTCCTTTCCTCCATACACTCCTGCCCCCTGAGCTGTCTCCCTGTGCCTAAGCAGATATTCTTTCTCCCATGATTGTTCTCTCCAAGGAGTGTATCAACTTGAGGTAAATGTTCAACTCATATGCCTATATTTTGTTTGGCTGGAAACCACAGGTGTGGATTCAATTCCAGACCTGAAGGGCAGCTAAGGGCCATAGTCTGTGGTTCCACCAGGCTCTATCGGACCAGCAAACCTGGTCCCCACCTTTTTTTTTTTTTTCTCCAAATAATTTTGTGTTTTGTTCTACATTGTTCTCCCTCTCAATCAAGGATCTCCTACATAGATCCCCTTCCAAGTGGATGACAGTGGTAGCCGGGCACCATCTGGTTCTTCTGGTCTCATAGTTGTATAGGCTGCAGATCAGATGGTGTACCTGTCACTAGGACTAATTGTTTACAAGAATTTTGGTTTTCTTCATTCTTCTTTGCTCTGGATGAGGAGAGACCCATCGTTGCATCTAGATGGCAGCTTGATAGCTCTTAAGATCCCAGTCACTACTCGCCAAAATAGGAGGTGGAACAATGTTTTGTATAGTATGTAATGCCAATTGAGCTTGATGTCCCCTGTGACTATGGTCCCAAGCCCACAGGTTCAACTATGTGGTCCCTCTGGGTAGTTGGCTGTGACCAAGCAGTGACCACAACCTTGTCCCTTGTCAGCTCTACTATACACCTGGGAATTCTGATAATTTGCATAAATTTATAGGACCATTATCTGCCAACCCTATATATGTTCTTGGATACACTCTGCATTTCATAGACATACTTAATCATTTAGCCTGTCCACCCATCTATCCATCCATATATCCATGTTTTCCTTCACAGAAAAGGAAGTACTGTATGTGCAAAAGGGTTCATATTTGTGGTCTGTACCTCCCATTTACCTCTCTATGTCTTTCTCATCCTCAATGGTGCAAATTGGTCACTCACATCATATTGGTCACCAAAATCAATACTTATCTCTATCTATCTAATAGCCTTCCCTCACCTTCCCTCCCACCCCTGGTAACCAACAAAGAAAATTTCCTTCTATGGATAAACCTTTCCTTAACATTTACAATAACGGACTAATACAATATTTGTCCTTTTGTGATTGACTTATTTCACTCAGCATAATGTCCTCCAAGTT